AGTAGACCGAGCGCATCTCCTTGGCCCTTTCCTGCACTAAGCCTCCATCAAGCCCCCATGTAGATTCCTGAGTTTTGACCCACTTCGGGGCCTCCAGCCCAGATCTCACCCAAAGCTGCTTTGCAGCACGCGACCCCCGGGCCTAGGCCCTTCAGAGGCTCCATCTGGGCCGAAACACTGTCCTGCCCGATGGACCTTCCAAGCCCAACTGTCCCTTCTTAGCTCTTGCTCTACTTTACTCAGAATTCAGGTTAACGCCGGGGACGCCTGACTGGCTCAGACAGTAGTAGAACATGAAACTCTTGATCTTGGGGTCATAAGTTCGAGCCCCACATTAGGTATAGATCCCTCAAAAACAAAACCAAAAAATCTTAAGAAAAAAATTTTAGGGGCGCCTGGGTGGCTCAGTCAGTTGAGCGTCCAACTTCGGCTCTCAGGTCATGATCTCACGGTTCGTGGGTTGGAGTCCCACGTCGGGCTCCATGCTGACAGCTCAAAGTCTGGAGCCTGTCTTCGGATTCTGTGTCTCCCTCACTCTCTGACCCGTCCCTGCTTATACTGTCTCTATCTCTCTTTCAGAAATAAAACATTAAAAAAAATTTTTTCAGGGGTGCCTGGGTGGCTTAGTTGGTTAAGCGTCCGACTTTCGCTTAGGTCATGATCTCGCGGTTTGTGGGTTTGAGCCCCGCGTCGGGCTCTGTGCTGACTGCCAGCTCAGAGCCTGGAGCCTGTTTCAGTCTGTGACTCCCTCTCTGACCCTCCCCTGCTCAACGCTGTCTCTCTCTCTCTGTCTCCTAGAAATAAATAAACATTTAAAAAAAAAAAAAAAATTTTAATAAAAAATTTTCAGTCAAACGAAGCTGCACCTGTGAAATACAATATGGAAGATAGACTAATGCGCTTCCTCATTGCCTGTACATCTCACGGCTGCTTCACGGCCCAACCCAAGTCCCACTGACACGCTCTGGCACAGGAACCCAGGAAGCTGTCCTTCCAAACACTAGTACACTTTTTTTTTTTTTTGGAAAAAAAAACTTTTTAAGTACTCTCTACATCTAACATGGGGCTTGAACCTCCCACCTCCCGATCCAGAGCCACATGATGTTATCAACGGAGCCGACCAGATGCCCACTTTCACTTAGTTTTAAAGCTTTCTTCCAACCTAGAGATCCGGCTGCATTTGCTTAGTTGGAATGCCCCGTCCCCCAAATCAAAGCAGCAACTGACCATCACTTTTCCTTTTGTAGATATACTGTTCCATCTGGAAGTCAAGGTTGGTGCCACCTAAGTGGGTTCCTGCCGCAAGGAATTTGAGGACATCCTCCTCCTTCATCTGCAGGACATCAAGGGCTCCGGACATTGTGAAAGTTTCCCTTTAAGTTACGACGGGAACCTGAAAAACAACGGTTAACCATCCAGCCATTTTCAAGTCAGTGATTTAAGTGGGTTATGGGACGGGGGCCTTCTGACTCCTCTGGCAGCCGAGCCACTTATTTAAACACAACCCGAGGGCCGCACCTCTTAGTACACAGCGCAGTGGAAGGAGACCCAAAAGAACAGACCTATGCCACACGTTACAGAACTGCACCAGATCTTGAAGAGGATGCAGACGAAAAAATAAATTTAGCAAAATGAAACCAGAGATTCGCCACGTAACACTCCAGGGGGTAACGCGGAGTGAAGTCACCGAGGAGCAAAAATAACCCGGTGCGAGCAGCCACGCAGAGTTTAACAGAGGTAGCGGGGAGGCGAGCAAGTTTATCTTCAAGCGGACTGAAGGGTGGGCGCTTCAAGATCATTCCCCTCTACGGTCACAACCAACTTTCTACAAAACCCTTCCAAGCCTCTTAACGCGAACCGGATAAACCAGGCCAACAGCTCTCGGAACTGGGAGCTGGGCCTGAGCTCTGGGCCGGGCGCCGGGGCCCGAGGCAGTCGCGGTGCGCGGGCCCCGCTGTCTGCACCCCGGCCGCCCCGCACCCGCGGCCCCGGCTCCAGCACGCCCTCCGCGCGCGCCCGGGGCCGGGCGGGAACCCGCGAGCCCGGGCTCGGCCACGTGCGGCGGCCGGGCGCAGGGCCGGGACGCCCCGCGCTGCCTGCCGGCGTCCGGCCCCGGCCCTCGCACCCGTCACTCCGGCAGAAAGCTGCCCTGGGGGCTTTGGGGGACGCCGGGGACCCCACAGGCACTCACGCAAAACAACGCCGTATGGACCCCTCTCTGGGTAGCGCGGAAAAGGCAGGCGGCCGGAAGTGACGTCCTTATATACTCCGCCGCCAGCCAATGACAGCGAAAGCTAGGCGGAAGGGTGGAAGGGCCGCCTAATGCAGCGGGGCCTTTTGCGACGTTGGTGCTTTCCGGCGGCGCAAAGAAGTCCCGCGCCGCGCGGCCACCCCGGGGAAGTTCGTCAGGCCTGGCGGGAGGAGGCGCCGGCGGGCGCGCCCCGGTGCGCGTCCTGAGCGAAGCGTCCTGACGTCGGGGCCATGTTGAGCGCGGCGTGGCGGCAGAAGCCGGAGAAATAGCGCGGTCCGTCAGGACGCAGGTCAGGTGTTCAAAGTTCACGTACAGGAAATTCTCCTGAAAAATTTCAGAGGAAAAGGCTGTGCCCAGATGGCAGGTTTTTTCGCTAGAGGAAAAGGGAGTGGAATCTGTCGGCAGGTTAGTGATTAAAAATTCATCCCGTTCCTCTAGTACTGTGCAGCCACTGAAGAACTGCGGGATGGGGGAGAGTATTTTGAAAAAAGTTGAAGCCTGTGTCAACTAAACTTCAATTAAAAAAAATTGAAGCCCTGCACATTGAAAGATGGTAGAGAGATATCCAAGCTGTTAAGTTGCGCATTAGGTTTCCGTCTTTGCTGCAGTTGTGAATCACGAGGAGAGCTTTTAAACATAAGCCCAAGGAGATGTTTAAAATACGAGAAAAGTATAGATTTCCGTATTTTTCCAGAGCGCATGCGCGGGCGAGCGGCGGGCGGGGCAGAGAGGGCAGGCGCCGAGCAGCCCTGCTGGCAGCCGAGGCCCTGACCCCGCGCCCTAGCTCCCCGCGGGGACCTGGGCCCAGTCCGAGGTTCAACTGGCTAAGCTACCCAGGCACTCCCAAAATCTGATTTTTTAAATCGAAGGATTGTCATAAGACGTATTTGTATGTACTGTGAAATGATCACCGCAATAAATCTGTTAAGTCTGTCACCCTCCAGTTAGTGTTTTTCTTGTGATGAGAACGTTTACCGTCTCAGCAACGGTGAAGTGCGCAATACGGTATAAACTCTAGTCCCCATGTTGTATGTTACATTGCCAAGACTTTAAAAATCTGATTAAAAAAATTTTTAATGTTTATTTTTGAGACAGAAACTGTGAGTGGGGGGTGAGGGGGCAGAGAGAGGGAGAGGAATCCGAAGCAGCTCCACGCCCGCAGCTGTCAGCACAGAGCCCCATGCGGGCTCCCGCCGTGAACCCCGTGAACCCGGAGGTAGCTGAGGAGCCACCCGGTGCCGCAAAAATCTCATTCTTAAAAGTGCCTCCGTAGATCACTGTAATGTGCAGCCGGCATGAGAACCACTAATATACTAGAAGGGAACACAGGTTCTTTTACACTGAAACGGAGCAAAACCCCATTGCCGCTGATAGAGAAGGAAAGAAGAAAACTGACGCGTGGCTTTAAGCCTCCTTAGAAACTGCTGAAAATATCTGGAGACATTTTGGCTCTCAAAGCAAAAATAGCTATTGGAAAATGGAACAGGCGGCTTTTAGGGGCAGTTTCTGTGCCTGCACTGCCTGACTTCTCTGGAGGGCCTTCCGCACACGTCCAAGCCACCTTAGCGGCGCCTACTGTATGCACCCTGGGGTCCCGGAAGGACTTCTTTGCTACAAGGACGCCACGACACTGTAATTGTGTTTGGGTGTTTCTCCACAAAACAGTATTTTTCTTACAAAACAACTTTGCTCTTGAGAACGAGTGTGCATGGTGAAAGTCCTTGCTGAGGAAATGAGTCAACACAAGCCCGGAGGTGAGGAAGGCCCTGTAGTAAACCCTGGGAGGGGCCCGGGGCCGAGTCGGGCTTGTCACAGGAAAGCTGCCGCTAGCCAGGTGTCCTCACCTGCAGCACCCCTGCCCGTCTGCACCAGCTCCTGCCCCTTTTTTTCTCTCTGCCTTTTTTTTTTTTAATTTTTAAAATGTTTATTTACTTGAGAGGGGGGTGAGGGGCAGACAGAGAAAGGGAGACACAGAACCCAAAGCAGCCTCCAGACTCAGCCGTCAGCACAGAGCCCATCACGGGCTAAAACCCACGAGCCGTGAGATCATGACCTGAGCCGAAGTCAGATGCTTAACTGACTGAGCCCCCCAGGCGCCCCTCTCCCCATCCCCCTGTGCCTTTTAAATAAAAATCTCAGAGCCTTCGTTTGGTAAACTTTTGATCTTGGGGGTTCATATTTAAAAAGTTAAAACCTTGGCAAAATTGTGCTAGGGACTGTCATTTTGGGTGGATACACTTCACGTGGCACCGGATGGCTAGAGGAGTCCATGTTCTGATTTACGGACAGCTGGTCCCAAGCTTCAAGTTCATCTTGGGCACCTTCCCACCTCCCTCTCTAACCAGACTTCCTCCTTGCTCCTCCTTCACCTGTGTGTCTCGTACCCAGCTGTGCCCCAGTCCTGTCCAGAAATCTCACCTGCCGTGGCCTGAGCAGTCAAAATGCCTGTTCCCGCCTTTGTCCCAACGCTCTTGCATTCCCTTAGTTAACCGGTACGGTCCTTTCTGTTTGTTGGAAGGATTCTGTCTTACAACTTTTCTCGCTCACTAGGCACTTTTTGCCTTGTATAACTTCATGCACTGGAACCCAGCACTGCCTGCCACATGCTACCTGGGCCTCTGGACGAGTCACTTAACCTCTCTCAGGAAATGAGCTATTGCCGCTGCCGTCCTCCAAAATGAATGAGCCCCTGGGCCTGGAGTCCTCGGACCGCACAGGGCGCAAATGAACAGGGAGGGCTCGCCTGATGTTCCTATTTTATGAACCAAGGTGACATTTTAATGCCCTATTAATTTTATGCAAAATTACATATCAAATATCAAAACTCAAAAAAGTTTTTAAAAATCAAATCATACATACAGAGACTTGAAAAAAATCACATTAACTAAAAAAGGACACAGTTGTCCACTGAAATGGAGACGGGCCTGGAGATTCCTGGTTGCTTCAGTCGTCGTGAGCCTCAATCTTCAGGGCATCTTCCCCGAACACCTGCATCCTCACACAGGCCCAACGGTCTTACGCAGCTGCCGGCTTGACCCTGCGGGATCAGGAACGGCCCCACCAGCAGCGTATTCATGAACAGCTTACGGAGAAGCCAAAGTTCACAAAGTCCAGGGACTGACTGAGTTCTCGGCTGAGCCAAACCTCCTTTTATGATACGGGAACCAGGGTTTAGCATAGTCCAAGGTCACACGGAAAGTTCAAACACAATCACAATGAAAGGTCATCTTCAGCCCAGAGTTTGTTCACTCGAAAAACACTGGTCTGCGTACAGTTTTCCTTCTGGGGGGATGGGACCCGAGTCGCACCCTTAAGAATGCGAGGGATCGAGGAGGCCTACAATGGGACGGAGGACGTTTCAGGCAGAAGGGAGAGAATGAAGTATGATGATAAAGCCAAGAGGATTCATTCAACATTCATTAATCCACAAGCCTGATCCTGAGAGACAGGGTTCTTGAGGGGAGGGCAGATGCCCCCACGTGGCCAAGACCCAGGACAGACAGGCGGTACACAAGGAGTGTAGGTTAAGGCCTGGCAGAGAAGGACTTGGAATATTCTCCTATAGGAATCTGAGTATATTCGGCAGGCAGTGGGGGGGTCAGAGGATTATTAACAATGGGATGAGTTTTGTGAAGACATTTAAGGGAAATGTAGGTTGACTTCGGACTTACTGAGTTACAGAAGCCGCAGGACACCCAGGCAGGTGCGCATGACTAGAAGGTGGCCAGATGCACAGAGGTAATGAGGTGAGGTCTGACGAGTGGACAAAACAATGAAACGACAGAAGCTTAGTCATTCGGGAAGCATTCATCACAGTGCTTCTCTAGGCCTTAAGGCCCGGATGGAAGCTGGGCTACAGCAGGGAATGAGACGCACAGCCTCTGCCTCTGGGAGCTTATGACTGAATGAACAGGAGAGAGATCAATGGCCGCGACACAGTCCTGTAAGTACAGCAGTGCTGAGGGCTGCAGAAGGAAAGCACAGGGTCTGAGAGCGCTCAGGAAGGGCTGACCGAGCGGGAGGGCCTGGCAGAGAGCGCTCCTGTGCGAAGCCTGCACCAGACCCTGAGGGCCAGTAAGGACTGGAGCAGAACAGAGCATTCCAGGCAGAGAAGACAGCAGTTCCGAGGGACCACGCAGCAAGGGAGAGGCTGGGGAATGGGTGGAAGGCGGAAACACGAGGCGTCAGAGGCACAAAGTACAAACGAAGACGCCCGGGTCAGACTCGAAAATGGCTTATGGGGTCAAGGAGCCGAGTTTGGTGGCAGACAACAACATGGGAGAAATCAGGTGAAACATGACCCGACGACGTAAAGACAGTTCTTGAAGACGAAGCCAAGAAAACGGGGGTGAACACCAGCACCAAAAGGGGAGAGGGTGGAGTGTAATCAGTAAGGGAAGCACATCCTAAAAGTGGTCCACAAATCAAGCTGGGTTTCCATGTTTTGCTTAACTGCTCAGGAAACATTTTCAAAAAACAGTGATCTTTTAAAACAAGTCGAATTATTTACAAGTGTCAAATAAACATGGTCCGATCTTGGAAAAATACCATCTATATGCAAAACAAGTTGGAGAAATCCGAGTGATGACAGAAATGACACCGAATGAGAACCATTACAACTACGCTACAAACGCCCTCGGCTCTTTACACTGTCGGTTATGAAGCCGCCCTTCGCTTTTCATCCTCCCAATGTCAAAAGTATACCGATTTAGTTAAAGTCGATTCCATGACAAGCGATACTTTTATGGGTTCCTCGTGTAGATGAAATTCAGTGTGCACCACTTTGTTATTCACCTGGAAGAGTAAAAGCACAAGCTGTTCAAAGGCCCTGAGCGAAAGCCTTTTAGTCGGCCCTACAGTGTGGAATGGCAGAAGTCTGCATTTCGGAAAGAGGTGCGCAAATGACAGTGGGGAAGGACATCGCACCGCGTGCCTGGAATGCAGCTCTCCGGGGTCCACAGACCTGGGTTTGGGCTCATCTTGTCCCTGGGGATTCGTAGGCAAGGTATTAATCCTTTCTGGGCAATTGGTAACACGACGTAAAGTAAAAGGGTTGGGTTATGTTATGTCCAAAGCACATCGCAGCCCTATAATCAAGGTTGGTCGTGAGCATCTCAACCACCTGCCATGTCACGAGGCCATGAGGGTCTTTAACGCTAAGGCCCCGTCGTGCCCATTTCTGGATTTTTTTTCTTTGCCAGTGCCTCCTCGGCAGGCACTTTAAAAATGAAGGGCGCTTTAAAAATACAGCTAGCCTTAGCTACTGTAGATTTCCACTTACCGTTGGTTAAATCTTTCTTATAACATATTCCTAAGAAGCTGACAAACTATTTTCTTAGAGAAATTGCGCAATAGAAGATACTCAGGAATGTGGCTTGAACCACTGTCTGTGGTCCCTCCCTTTTACAAACCCCCCACCAAAGCTCTAACCTCAAATGAAGTAAAAAGGAGGTTAAAGGGCTATGAAGCATCCTATGTAGAATATTAACGTTAAATCTTTGGGTCTTAAGGAAACAGAAATGGTTACCATACCTTGGGGAGGTGGGGAGGAGTTAGTATGTAATTGTGACTAGGGCATCAACTCTAGAAGCACTGTGATGAGCCTGGGTGGCAGCTCGGCCACCGTCTGGCCCCCACCTGTCACAGGGGATGCGAATCCCAGCAGGCACCTGAGGGGCGTTGGAAGGAATAACTAGATTCGTACCTGGGAAGCACAGAGAACAGTAAGTGGCGTGGAGCGAGCCACGCAGTCGACGTCAGTACCGCTGCTACTTCTATGATCTTTTCTAATTGGCTCTCTGTGGGCATAAAACTCTCCGACTGAGAAGAAAATTACTCCTCAACCCTGATATAAGCTACAATACCTGGGCCATTCTCCAAACTGGGGCTCGTGTAGAAATCTACTCCTGTTATTGGGCACGTGTATAATCAGTGAATCCTTACCACGGGCGACAAGCTGGGGAGACAGATGTGAGCTCGAGTCTGTCCTTACAGAAGTCCGAAGGCTTTGCCTTCTCTAGGGGAGCTGAGTCAGGCCAAGCTGACTGCCCTGGGGGGCTGCAGAGCACACAGGGTCTTTAAAGGTCATCCAATACACTCCTATTAGCAATGCACGGAAGGTATCACTCTGTTTCCCTCAGCAGCTGGCCCAAGCACGTTTTCTGAATGCCAGTCATTGTAACTCATGATCAGCCCGTCACTTCCAAGCAGCTTTTCAGTATCTGTCGTATTTTCATGGCTAAAGTCAATCTCATGAAAACGCTCCGAGCAAGTGCATGAATGGAGCATGTGCTCACTTAGAATTTACTTACTTTGGTGAAAAAGTCAGCGATGTGGCACTTATTTCCGTGCTGTTTAAAGACCTCAGCCATTGCTTCAATCATCACCGAGCCGGTGCGAGGGTGCCGTAAGGCGACATGATCTACAAAGTGAAAATACTTCGTCTGTTTTCCTCCTCCCTTTGCACTGAAGTTTTTCTTTTACCCATAATTAAACCTAGAAAATGGCTTTGAACTGAGAATACAGAAGCATTCTTGTATTAATAGGAGTGCCTGGGGCCATAAGAGACACAGACACAAAAAGAAGAAGCATTGAGCCTCCCAGGGGACTCCTGTGACCAAAAGCATGTAACTCCTCAAGAGGGCAATTCTCTAATATGAATTTTTAAACTAAAACTTTTCAAATATACACAAAAGAAGGCAAAGTTTAACAAACTCCCATAGGATCATCCCCCAGATTCAACAGTTTTCATTTTGCCATATGTCCTTCATTTATCCCTTCTTTCTCTATTTTTTAATGTTTATTTATTTATATTTGAAGAGGGCAAAGAGAGAGAGAGAGGGAGAGAGAATCTTAAGCAAGCTCACACTGTCTGCACAGAGCCCAATGCGGGGCTCAAACTCATGAACCATGAGTTCGTGACCTGAGCCGAAATCAAGAGTCAGATGACTAGCCAACTGAGCCTCCCAGGTACCCCCTCTATTTTTTTTTTTTTATTTCTGACTTTTGCTACAGGATATTACACTAAATATCCACCAAATACAACCATGTAGAATTTATTTTGGGGTCCTCAAAAAAATTTAGTGGAGTTATTTTTATTAGCAGATTAAAAAACATGAGACATGTCTGTTTTTAGTGTGGAAATTTGATGGGAATATCAAAATCGTACCCTCTGATAATAAATCTAGGTTGGATCAGAAAAAAGCCCATGTATACATCTTTGCAATCTCAATGTAGGCAAAGGTTTCTTAGAACACAAAAGGCATAAACTGCAAAAGCAAAAGCTGCTAAACTGAACTTCATCAAAATTAAAACCTTTTGGTTTTTGAAACATGTTATTAAGAAAATGAAAAGCAAGCCACAGGTTGGGAGAAATATTGCAATACATACCAGGTAAAGAACTTGTATCCAGAATATATAAATAATTCTTACAACTTCCTAAGAAAACCAACAACTCGATAAAAAATTGGGCAACAGACATGAACAGACATTTAGCAGAAGATATATGAATGGGCAACATGTACAGGAAAAGATAATCACTAGGTGTCCAAGAATTGCAAATCAAAACAACAAGGCGATACTATTCTACACCCATCAGACTGTCTAAAATTTAAAAACAGATCAAATCAACTGATAATGAGGATATGGAGCAACTGGAACTCTCACACACTGCTGGTGGGAATGTAAATGATACAACCACTTTGAAAAAGAATTTTCAACTTGGCACTTTCTTTAAAAGTCAAACATAGCTACTATGTGAACCAAACATTCCACTTCTTCGCATTTACCCAAGGAAAACAAAAACGTATGCCCAAAGACTTATTCACGTGTGGTCACAGCAGCTTTATTTGTAATAACCAAAACCTAGAAACAACTTAAATTGTTCAATAACAAGTGAATGGCTGAGCACCTTGTGTTAACATTGTGTTATGTTCACACAACTACTCAGAAATCAAAAGGAATGAACTACTGACATACAAAACAACATGGATAAGTCATAAAATCATTATGCTGAGTGGAAGAAGACAGGAAGGGAGGGAGGGAGGGAAGGAGGGGAGGAGAGAGGAAACTTACATGCTATATAATTCCAGTTATATACAATTCCAGAAGATATACTCTAATCTGTGGTAACAGACAACACAACTAGTGACCCAGGGATGGGGAGGGAGGCAGGCATAGATTATAACATGAGGAAACTTTTTGAGGTGACAGAAATATTTGCTTGATCATGGTGATGGTGTCATGAATGTATACTTCTTTCTGTTCAAATGATATACATGGGATATTACAGCTCATACTTCAACTATAGCTCCATAAAGTTGTAAACAAATCCACAGAACACATCTGTTTAGTGTGGGAACTATACAGGAATTTCGGTATTGCCCCTCTTAGAGCAAATTTGAGTTACATCACAATGTTTGACAATCCATCCATCCAGTGTTCTTCAAACTGCAGGCTGGGGCCCAATTGTCAGCCAAGAAATCAATTTAGCAGACTGAAACTGCATTTTTTAGGGGCGCCTAAACATTCGACAGTGTGAATATTCGACAGTGTGAATCTGTTACAGGTAGACATTCTATAGCGTGAACATCCTATAGTGTGAACATTTGATAGTGTGAATATACCACAGTGTGGACATTCTACAGTGTGGGCATTCTACAGTGTGAACCTTTTACACTGTGAACCTACTACAGTGTGAACATTCTACAGTGTGAACATTCAATAGTGTGAACCTACTACAGTAGACATTCTATAGTGTGAACCCACTACAGTATGGACATTTGATAGTGTGGACAATCTACAGTAGACATTCTACAGTGTGAACATATTATAGTTTGGATATCCTGCAGTGTGAACATTCAGTAGTGTGGACATACAAAGGTGTGGACATCCTATAGGGGGACATCCTACAGTCTGAACAACCTACAGGGTGAACATTCTACAGTATGAACATATCACTCCCAGTGGCTTTCAGATTTCCTGTCACCCATTCTCCCCACTAAGCAATTTCAAAGGAGCGCCCAGATTTGAGTGCTCGACACACCCATTCACCCACTTTCCTGGTGTTAGCACTGAGAAGTCGAGTATCCCAGGAACCCTGTCCCTCTCGGGCAAACTGGGACAGTCAGTCATCCCGTCCCATGTATATACATGTGCAGAAGATCCCAAACTGTCTAGGTGCGTGATGCCCTCAGTGTCCCAGGAATTGTCACACAGCACTCCTAGGCCAAGAGAAGTACCTAAGAGCTCCATTTACTAAAGTAGTTAGTTCCAAGCTCAGGATTAATATCTTAATAGCTGGGTCACCTGTGTGGCTCAGTCAGTTGGAGTTAGGCTTGGGTCATGATCTCACAGTTTGGTGCATGAGATCAAGAGTATGCTTGCTCTCTCTCTCTCTCTCTCAAAATAAATAAATACATTTTTAAAAAGCTACATGTTAAAATGTGAGGGATACAGTGAAAGCAGTACTCAGAGGGGATTATTTGAAGATGCTTATATATCAGGGGGCTCCTGGGTGACTCAGTCGGTTAAGTGTTTGACTTCCACTCAGGTCATGATCTCACCATTTGTGAGTTTGAGCCCCATATCAGGCTCTGTGCTGACAGCTCAGAGCCTGGAATCTGTTTTGGATCTGTGTCTCTCTCTCTCTCTCTCTGCACCTCCTCTGCTCTTGCTCTGTCTCTCAAAAATTAATAAAAGTTAAAAAAAAATTTTTAATGCTTATATATTTTTTAATTTTATTTTTTAATAGTTTATTGTCAAGTTGGTTTCCATATGACACCCAGTGCTCATCCCCACAAGTGCCCATTCCCACAAGTGCCCTCCTCCTTGCCCATCACCCCCCTTCCCCTCCCCATCAGCCCTCAGTTTGTTCTCGGCATTCAAAAGTCTCTCATGGTTTGCCTCCCTCCCTCTCCCCCCTATTTCCCCCTTTATTCTCCCCCACAGTCCTCCGTTAAGTTCCTCCTAATCCTCCTATACGTGCAAACATATGGTATCTGTCCTTCTCTGCCTGACTTATTTCACTCAGCATAACACCCTCAAGTTCCTGGAGAAGTCTAAATGCTTATATTTTTGAAAATATAGAAAATAATAAGCCAAGTATCTAACTGAAATAGTTGGGAAAAGAAAAGCAGAATAACTCCCCCCCCCAACAAATGACGAAAAATGGAAATAAGAGTCAAAATTAATGAAATAAAAAACCTATACTCGAGAGAATGAACAAAACTAAAACTAATTTTGGTGGGTTTTTTTTTTTTTTTTTTTGAGAGAGAGGGGGGCGTAAGTGAGCAAGGGTAGAGAGAATGAGCGAGAAAATCCCACAAGGGGCAGAGAGAGGGAAGGAGTGAGAATCCCACTCAGGCTCTGAGCTGTCGGCACAGAGTCTGACACGGGGCTCGAACTCACAGATGGTGAGATCATGACCCGAACTGAAGTCAGATGCTTAACCAGATGCTAAGCCAGGTGCCCCTAAAAATAGGTTCTTTTTTTTTTTTTTAATGTTTTCTTCATTTCTGAGAGAGAGAGAGACAGCATGAGCAGGGGAGGGTCAGAGAGAGAGGGAGACACAGAATCCGAAGACAGGCTCCAGGCTCTGAGCTGTCAGCACAGAGCCCGACGCGGGGCTCAAACCTGTGAATTGCGAGATCATGACCGGAGCCAAAGCCAGATGCTTAACTGACTGAACCACCCAGATGCCCCTAAAAATAGGTTCTTTATGAAACCACTGGTAAGAATGATCAAGAAAAAAAGAAGGAAAACACAAATATTAGAGATAAAAGGAGCATTACTACAGATTTACTGGACATTTCACGTGCTTAGAGATGCAACGAACCCTACGCCAAGAAATAATTTTTTCGTTTTCTCCCACAGAGATGCCAGGTTTCCCAGCAGTATTTACTGGACGGCCCATTCTTTCAACACTAACTGGCGATGGCTCGTCACGTGCCTAGTTGGCCCACATAGCTGGTTCTGCCTCTACATTCTCTATTCTATCCTTTTTTTATTATTGTTTTTAATTTTTATTACTGTTATATTATACTAAGTATTCTTTTTTTACTGTTTGTTTATTTTTGAGAGAGACAGAGAGAGAGAGTGAGTGGGAGAGGGGCAGAGAGAGACACACACACAGAATCCAAAGCAGGCTCTAGGTTCTGAGCTGTCAGCACAGAGCCCAACGTGGGGCTTGAACTCACAAACCATGAGATCGTGACCTGAGCCGAAGTTGGACCCTTAACTGACTGAGCCACCCAGGGACTCCTTCATGTTGACTTGAAAAGAGTATTAAAGTAGTTTCCATATATATATATATATGGAATCCAAGATAAAATGTGAGTGAAGAATTGCCAGCAAAGGAAACTAAGGGCAACCACTTAAAATGAAACCATACTTAGTGGTAAGATGTGAAAACCTTCCCCACTAGAGTTAGACATAAGATTTCAGTCCTGGCTGTTTATCAGAGAGATGAAAGCATGTGGCTTCACAGAGACGGGCACACAAAAGTTCAGAGCAGCTTTATTTGAAACAGTCAAAGACTGGAAACAACCCAACAGGTGACTGAACGAATAAACAGACTGTGGTGGCCACATGTGGCCTGCTACTCAGCAATAAAAGGAAATGAGCTCTTGATATAAACTGACTACAAAATTATTATGGGACAGTTCAGGGTCAAGGCGAGAAACCCAATGTTCCAGTTTTATTGAATGAATGAGTTTTATGACTGTGTGCCGCACTACACACACACACAGTTCAGGGTCAAGGCGAGAAACCCAATGTTCCAGTTTTATTGAATGAATGAGTTTTATGACTGTGTGCCGCACTACACACACACACACACACACACACACACACTCTCTTAAGGGCTGGAGATTCAGTATTGAACCGAAGAACTAAAACTCTCTGCCTCCACAGAGCTGATGTGCTAGTGGGGAAGAGAGACAATAAACAGAGAGAAACTATATATTGTGCTACTTTACGATCCCATTTACATAAAGTTCAAAGACTGGCAAAACTAATCTGTGGTGCTAGAAGGCAGGATCCTGCCTGCCCTCAGGAGTGCAGAGTGTTTGGGTGGTGATGCCCAGAGGGGGCCGGAAGGGGACTTCCTACCCGGAATGCTGGCATCATCTTCCTTCTCGATGAGGGTGCCCGTTACAGGGTGCGTTCACTTTATGAAAGTTTATTGTGCTGATGGCTCAGGGCCTGGAGCTGCTTCAGATTCGGTGTCTCCCTTTCTCCCTGCCCCTGCCCCGCTCGGTCTCTCTCTCTCTCAAAAATAATAAATAAACATTAAAAAAAAAACCAATAAAGATAAAAACAACTAAAGGGGAGCATCTGGCTAGCTCAGCGGGTAGAGTGCATGACTCCTGATCTTGGGGTTGTGAGTTCAAGCCCCATGTTGGGTGTAGACATTACTTAAAAATTAAAAATATCCTGGGGCGCCTGGGTGGCTCAGTCGGTTAAACACCCGACTCTCAGTTTCAGCTCAGGTCATGATCTCATGGTTCCTGAATCGATCCCCATCTCAGGCTCTGCACTGAGAGTGTGGAGCCGGGTCTCCCTCCCTCCCCAGCTTGCATGTGCTCACTCGCTCTCCCAATAAATAAGTAAACATTTTTTTAAATAATAAAAATAAATCTTAAAATAAACAACTAAAAAAAATCTTCCTGGACCCCTGAAATCTTTCTCTCCTACATTTTTGTTTCCCCTCACAAGTGATTCAAGTCCACCCTCTCATACACAAGATTCTTTTGGGCTTGAACTTATTATTAATAATAGTATTAGTAACGATGATAAAAATATTATTAGCACAATATATTAGTAGTAATAGTATCGAATTTCCTTTTTTTGTATTTACTATGCCATTCATTATGATGGGCACATGCTTTAAAGAATTCAACTTCTGTAACGTCCCAGTGACATAAGTGAATTCTATCATTCACGTTTCCCATGAAGAAAGGAACATAGCTGGCGATGTAGAAATACTGGAGGTCTCAAATACATCAAGTGGCAGAACTGGCTTTTGGGCCAGAATCTTTTTCATACGAGAGCCCATGACCTCATTCACCACGTGACGCTCTGTTCAGAGACGTGTGCGCTCCTGGAAGAACGATCTGCTTCTTCTGTTTAGAGAGGCCAACCCCCCGTCTCTAAGAGTGGGAACACGTGTGCAGGGAGAGGGAGGGGTTAGCAAACACCTCTCCTGATAGACGCCAATTTGTAAGGCACAAAGAATTAAGAAAGGAGAGATTCTGAGAATCGTTACGAATAACTTCAACCTTCTGGAAGCAAGTGTGCGTCACTGTCGCCTACCCTCCCTGTCTCACCTGCCTGGGTCGGGTAGATGATGAAGTAATCGCTGAAGGTGGGCAGCCTCCTCTTTTCCGAAACGTCGTCAGACTCCATGGGTTCATCGTCCGTCTCCACACCATTATCTCTTTTGTCTGTTTTTTGAAGAACAGAAATATAAACTACAGTAAAGCACCACTTACACCAGGAGCCCTTAATCAAATCCCAACAAGCTTGATTCTCCACAAGAGGGAGAAATGGCCGCAGAAGCTACACAAGTCGGATGTGGGCCCCACAGGTCGCCTGGTGTCACACGGACGGTAGGATGGCCCTCGGAGAGGGCACACACCTCTCTCAGATCTGAGGCTCTCTGGCCCACCTCACGCCGTGGGGGACTTGGACCATTCCTCAGCCAGGGTTAACGATTCCACCCAGGTAAGTTTCCCTTCTATCCCTGCCTCCCGGCCCAAAGTCTCCAGGACATAACGTCACAGCAGCGGAGGGGCCTCTGACTGTAAACACACGAATTAATATTTTTAACTTCTTTTTAAAAAAATTTTTAACATTTATTCATTTTTGAGAGTGAGAAAGGCAGAGTGTGAGCAGGGGAGGGGCAGAGTGGGAGGGAGACACAGAATCTGAAGCAGGCTCCAGGCTCTGAGCTGTTAGCACAGAGCCCGACGCGGGGCTCGAACCCATAAACCATGAGATCATGACCTGAGCCAAAGTAGACACTTAACCGACTGAGCCACCCAGGCGCCCCGAAATTTTGAACTTCTTTTTCTTTTCTCAATCATCCATATGATAATTTCCTAGAAACATGACTACACCAAGAAGTCTCCACTCACCTCCTCTGCAGGCCTGGATGATAAAGATCTTTGGTTTCTCTTGAAGTGCTGGACAATTTTTATTATTAAACATTTCAAAGATGTCCTCCAGGCTAACTTTTTCACCATCTTTCATCTTAATAAAGCCTTTCTCCCCATGGGACATAAGAGTAACAAGGCAACAGCCAACGTCATCCTTAATCTCATTGAGTCCATCACGAAATGATGATATTTTCCCAAGTAACTCCTGTAAAATAGGATAACATATTCAAAATAACTGGAGGGAAGTAAAATCAGAAAGGCTGGAGACGGTCCCCTTCGCAGGCAATCTGAGGACATGAGAAATGTGAAAAGAACTACATCTCGGGCAGAGTTAGTGTGAGGTAAGTATTAGCTCATGAACTTGTCACTTCCCTTTCACTTGCCCTCGGAATTCACAGAATTTCTTCTCGTTCTTGTTTAACAGAATTAGGGCATTTCTGATTCTCTACCGCAAAAAACAACATAATGATAGCTCCCCAAAGGGTCAGTGTATGCAAATTTTATATTATTAACTTATTTCAACATACAAATGTTATTATTTTCTAAAAGTAATGTCCTCACGAAGCTAGAAATGGAAGGGAATGGAGGCAGCTGCAAGAGCATATGGAGCAGCGCGTCAGGGTCAAGCCCCCTAGAGAGAAAAGCAAGGCGGGAATGGCGGCCATCCTGCTCCCACACGCCTTGCAGCCGAGATTGTAGCCCTTTCAATAAAGCATGTAAAAGTTGAAGTCTAAACATAGGAAACAAAGAGCCAAAACTCATTTGTACAGGTATCATGACTATCTAGAAATACAAAATAATCAACCAAGTAACTACTGGAACCAGAGGCCAGGGAGCTGACTGGACACAAGATTAACTCACAAAGATCTAACGTGCCCCCCCCCCCATTACCTGGCAACAATCTTTTAAACCCCATCATGGAAAAGGAAGTCCCATTCATGGTCACACCCAAACTAAGACAATACCTAGGAATAAACCTAAATAGCACACATTACCTAAATGAAGAAAAGGATAAAGCTGTAGGGAAGAGGCGACAATGAATCTCAATTCAATGTCCTGGCAATCAAAATCCCAAAGGCTCTCAGTGGAAATTAACCAGATTATTCTCAGGGTCACAGAGGACAGACAGGCTCAAGAACAGTCAAGCATATTCATAAGCAAAAACAAACAAAAAACAAAAAAAAACAAAAGAGAGAGATCAGAGAGAGAGAGGAGAGATAGATCCTATTAGACATCAAAATGTCTTTAAAAATCATGGTGAATGAAATAGGGATATACTGGCTTAAGTATAAACAAATATATGAATGGACTATTTCAGATTCTAGAAACCAAATGAATTATATATGGGAATTTATTTCACGATAAAGGCAGAGTGTTAGACATGTGGGGGAAGGACACATTATTCACTAAATGTTGAGCCAATGAACTATCCATCTGGACACAAGGTGAGGCTTCCTACCTCAGACTGGTCCAAAACAGATAAGATTCCAGAGTAGAAAGGAAAACCTTAAACTATACAAATATTAGAGAAAAATAATTTAAACATTCTTTAAGTTGGGAAGGCATGAGGTTTAATCAAGACACAAAAAAACAAGAAGCTGACATGAAAGACTGAGAAGTTTACTCACAAAAAAATTAAAAGACTTCCATACAATTTAGGACAACAGAAATCAAAAGTAACAGGGTAAGAGAAAAATATGTGCACTACAGTTTGTAAATGAATCATATCCAGGAAAATAACCAAGAGAACAAGAAAAAGACCACCCAGTAGGAGAAAGGGCAAAGGAGATAGAATGGATAATTTACAGAAGGAAAAAAATGGCCAAAGGATTAACCTTAGTTTAACCAAACTAAGAATAAGAAAAACGAAACTCAGAACACTAAAATACTTTTACCAGTAACACTGCTAAATATTTATAAACATTGCCAGGAGGAAGGAAAAGCGGCCACTTAACACCCTGAGGAGCATAAACGAAAAGAACATTGGCAGTTTCTGCCATTTGAATAAAAAGAACAGGACTAAAAACCATGCAGTATGTAAAAGATTCTGGTACGATCCTTGGGGAAAATAAAGGGGTCTATTTTTACCTTTGAAATAGTAATAAAAATGAAGCTTGCTGGGCACTTGCTATAAGCCAGATACTATTCTGTGAATATTGACACAGAGTAGCTCATTCATTGTCACTACAGCCCTCCAAGATAAGTTACTATCACCACCCCCATTTCAGAGAGAAGAAAAGTAGTCAATTAATTTCAGGCAGAGTTGCTAAAACTATAGCGCTAACAGACATTTGGACCCAGAAAATTCTTTGCAGTGGGGGCTGTCCTGGACATTGTAGCACCCGCTAGATGCCTGTAGCACTCTCCAGTTGTGACAACCAGAGATGGCTCCAGCTATGGTCAAATGAGGGGGACAAATACCCTCAGGTGAGAACCAGATTTAGCAAGGGACAGGATTCCACCCGAGGCAGTCTGCGTAGCATTCACAACCCCATGCTCTGCTGTTCCCTGACATTCATTAGCGGTGACTCCTGGCATCTAAGAAGGGCTTTGCGATGTTACTACTGTCCCTAAATGAGGGCAGGTCTAAGTCATGACTCAGCTAGAGTCAAAGAGGTCAAATGGAGTTCCCACCATCCCCTTTCTCCCCCTTTTTCAGTATAATCTAGTTAAGTCACAATGCAATTCTGCCCAGCACTGTCGGCTCCCTCTCCACACCTCTCCCAGGGTCCCCAGGGAGTCCCACAGGACTCAGGCTGCTGGAATCCCTCTGGCCTGCCTCCTGGTGATCTCCCAAGTGGGTTTCCTTGGTCTTTTCTGCTTCCAAAAGCTCTGGAACTTGCCTTCTCCAGACTCCTGCCTTGTCCTTGGGCCTCCTTGCCCGTCTTGCCACAGACACCTTCTGGAGTCCCCTTCCCTCTTCAACTGCATAGTCAAGCCTGGGGCCCAAGAGGTCCCCAATCGACTGGAAGGGGAGGTAGGGTAGCGCACACTTAAAATTACAAAAGTATCCAAAATTTTATCAGGAAACACATATCATTGCTCAGCAGGTCCTGATTCTTAAGTGTTAAAACGCAATTTTTTAGAAAAGAAAGGAAAATTGTAAGATCCAAGTTACGATTTTTCATTTTTGTTTTTGACTTTACCATCTTGTTTGGATCGATGCACGACGTATGCTCAAACTGGCACTGGCCAAGCCATTTGGTCATTAGCATGATGTCCCGGTGAGCCCCCGGTCTATTCTTCTCCACACACATGAGGAAAGCCTTCCGCTTGCCACTCAGGTCATAACAGTCCTATTTTCCAGGGAAGCCAACAATATTTAAACCAAACCAAACTCAGAAATCCAAATATGTCATACATACAAAATAATGAGTTTCTTTGGGGGAATCAATGGTAAGGTTTCCCAGTTTGGATCAGGAACTCAACACTGATTGTCTCTTATCAGTTATGGAATGGCGGGGGATGGACGGGGTGGGGAGGCATGACTTGATTTACAATTCTTTCAGATATCTTCCTCAGACTAGGGCTAAGAGGCCAGTCTCAGTTTTAAATTCCTATGTATAGCTAGAACTACCAATTTAAAGAAACATGGCGGACAGAGAAAAATGGTAAATGACAACACAACACTGTAGTCATCAAAGTCCAGAATGTGGGACATTGTACAGACAACTTGGTTTCTTCAATAAGTAAATAATTTAAAAAGGGCTTAAAGAAAGGAGAAGGATCCTAAGAGTCTTAAGGAAGAAAGCAGTCAACTCTAATTGTGTAGACCCCGTATGAATCAGCATCCCGATTCAAACCACCCACCTGCCAAAGACATAGGAACGAGTCAAGCATATCTGATTACTAACTGCATCTTTGCAAACCTTAAGGAAGTTGTTTTTAGGTAGAATAATGGTACTGTGGTTATGTTTTGAAAAACCTCTTTCTCACGCTGAAGATTTAGAGATTCATGCTAAAGTATCTGCAGATGAAAGTGACAGATCTGGATTTGCTTTAAAGTAACTGGAGTGGGGAGCAGACAAAACAAGATTGGCTCTATGTTACTAATTTGCTGAAGCAGGGTCATTTTTTTGTTTTTTCTGTCCCACTTTAGTATGTTTAAAATTTCCATAATAAAACTTAAAAAGCCCAAACGCTGTAACCGGCAATTTACGCAGTCGTCCAAGGTCATATGGCCAGTCACTGAACTTCCATTGAAGCTCTGGTGCCTCACTTTTTCTTGATTTGCATAACAGAAATAACAGCAGAGCCGACCTTGTTTGGTTAACGCATGCACAGTGGTTTTAAAGGGCTACGGTTTATCCTTCACTACCGTAACAAAAAGCAGCGAGATAACCATACAGATAGACTCCTTTAACCAACAAGAACAGCACAGAAAAATGTTAAAGTAGCAGCTAAAGCGGCTGGAACGCTCCTAGCCAGTGTGCGGTGGTGGAGTGAGAGCAAAAATATTTACCAGTTCGCCATCCACGCAGTCATAGCTTCTCTTTAGAATCTTTCTTGGGACCTCTGCATGAATTTTCATGAAAAGAGAATAAAACAGAAAAAAACGCATTATTGTTTCCCCCTTTTTTCTTTTCATTTTAATCAGGATTCACTGTCATTCCTATAACAGGAAGCCCCTCCCAGGGAATTCTGTTGCCTCTTATGTGTTGGGGTCCAGCAGGCTTCAACCTCATTTTAGAACGGGTTCCCTGGATTACAAACACCCTCCTTCAAATTCATGAGGCTAGAGACTTAAAACAGGCCTCCCTTAGGCCCCAGCTGGATACAGGGGCAGGAAGAGCCAGGCCAGAGATAAAAAGGGACAAGGTCTAAGTGACACATTACTGCGTGTGTACTTCCTGAAGAGGAGATCAAGACATCGATCAAGAAAAAATGAAGTAAAGGAACTAGGCATTTAAAAAAAAAATTAACGTAATCTCTTAGCATTTAGTTCACATATTTATTGGGTGCCTATAGTGTAGAACCATAATACTGTGTAGGTTGGATGATTCTGGAAAAACACCCCACTAGGCCAACAGTCTGGAGAGGTGTAACACAGGGGGGCATGACCCGGAACCGGGGAGGGAGGCCGGGAGGGCTGGGTCGGGCGCAGCGCGCGCAGGGACGCGCAGGGACGCTGCAGCCTCCGCCGGCCGCTGTCCTGCCCGGAGGCCGCGTGCGGTGGCCGTGACGGGTGGGGTGCGTTACACATCTACACAAACCAGCCACAGTGGCACACCTAGAAGCTCCGTCGCATCACAAGCATGCTGATACTGCCCGTCTCAGCGGCTCCCGTGGAAGAGCTGCTTCCTCTCTCTCACACACGTATGTACACACACGTTTACTAAATCGGGGCGGGGGGAGCCCCACCTCCCTCCACCTGTTGCCGACTACATTTCTTGGTCATAAGCCACATCTTCCTAGGTTTAGGGCAAATGATGTCATGGTGTGCAAGCGCCCCTCCCCCCAGAAGCACCCCCCTGGGGATGTGACAGCGGGGTTTCCCACACTGGGCGTCTCGCTGCGTCGTCAGGAAACCTCCCACATCTCTCGAGGGCGCTTGTTAACCAAGCGTCTCAGGCCTGCTGAGTCGATCCGCCCTTTGAGCCCACCCCGAAATGTGCGGGTGAACCCTGGTGGCCGCTCTTCGGCGGCTCGCTCGGACTCCGCTCGGGGACGGCGGTGCTCGGGACCGCTCCCCCCAAGTTCCCACCTCCCAGCGCGCGTCTTCTGGGTCCTAGGGCAGCCCCCGCACCCCCCCCCCGGCAGGCGGGAACCCCCTCTTCCGCGCCGACCCGAGCGCTCACCCGGGCCCGGCCCCGGCGCCCCCCGCACCCCCCCCAGCAGGCGGGAACCCCCTCTTCCCCGCCGACCCGAGCGCTCACCCGGGCGCGGCCCCGGCGCCCAGCCCCCAGCCCCCCCAGGCGGCGGGCCCCACGCCGGCCCCGGCCCCCCGCGCCCCGCTCACCCCAGCTGCCGTCGGCGTCGGCGCCCTGCCAGCGCGGCAGCAGGTCGGCGCGGCGCAGCTGCTGCAGCACCTTGGAGAGCACGCGCGCCGCGGCGGGCAGGTAGTAGTGCTGGGCCAGCAGCAGCGCCAGCCCCGCCGCGCTGCCGCCCTCCAGCTCCAGCCGCAGGGGGCTCACGCGCGGCCCCTCGTCCACCGTCTTGAGGAGGACGCGGAAGTGGCTCAGCTCCCGCGGGGACAGCAGGTCCAGGGTCTCCTGCACGCGGCGCCGCAGCTCCTCCACCGCCGGCGTGGTCTTCGGAGGCGCCCGGCGGCCGTCGGACCCCGCGCGCCAGCCGCCCCCCGGGCTCCTCTCCATGGCCTCCCGAGATGCCGCGGCGCCCGGGCCGGAGGGGCCGCCGCCGAGGCCTCAGCCCAGCGGGCCGCGCACCTCCCGTGCCTCCCCTTTGTTTTGTGAAACGGAGGCGTTTGCGCGCGTCTCGGCCGCGGCGGGGCGGGCGGGCCGCGGTGACCCCGAGCTCCCGCCCGGCTCCCTCCGGGCTCGGCCCCCGCCCCAAGCCCCGCCCCCGGCCCGCCCCGCAGGGCCCCTCGGCGGTTCGCTGGCGCGGCTGCGCGGCGCGGTCACCGGGGTAACGCCTGGAGCCCGGGCCGCAGTCCAGGCCGATTGCGTTCGAGCTTCTGGGGGCCGGACGCAGGCGTCGGCCGTTTTCAAAGCTCTTCAGGTGATGCCAGTGTGCAGCCTCGTTTGAGAACCGCTGATCTTTTTTTTTTTTTTTTTTATGTTTTTATTTTATTTCTGAGAGAGAGAGAGAGAGAGAGGAGAGAGAGAGACAGCGTGAGAGGGGGAGGGTCAGACAGAGAGGGAGTCACAGACTGAAACAGGCTCCAGGTTCTGAGCTGGCAGTCAGCACAGAGCCCGACGCGGGGCTCGAACCCACCAACCGAGAGATCATGACCTGAGCCGAAGTCGGACGCTCAACCGACTGAGCCCCCAGGCGCCCCGAGGACCACTGAGCTCAGATCCAGAGTGTCTATCAGCTAGCTAACCCGCTGGCTTCACTTGGACGCCGAAATAACACCTAGAAGCTACTGCACTGAGCCAGCTTTCACTGGAGAGGGAGAGGTGAAGAAGGTTGAGGCTTGAGAATTTGAAGCCAGCATGAGTCTTGGGAGGCACATGGCCTTGGGGGACAGGCCTCAGCTTGGCAACTGCCGGTCAGTGTCCCGGCTGCTCGGTTCCCCCACTGGACGGGGTCCTCAGGAGTTCACCCTAATTGTGATTTGCCTCCAGATTACTTACCCTGTGGCAGATCTGGTGAAGGAAACTCAGGACCTTGTTTGCATCCTGATCCTAGTAAGCCAACTGTAAAAGCTCTTTTAAGAAAGATTTTATTTGGGGGGCACCTGCGTGGTTCAGTTGGTCAAGCCTCCAGGCTCTTGATTTCTGCTCAGGTCACAAGGTCATGATTGCTGAGATTGAGCCTTGCATGGGGCTCCGTGCTAACAGCTTGGGGTCGGCTTGGGATTTTCTCTCCCCCTCTCTGCCCCTCCCACAATCACACACACACTCAGGTGTGCTCTCTCTCAAAATAAGCTTTAAAATAAAAAGATGTGAGTTTTCAGTAAACTCTACACCAACTGTGAGGCTCAAACTCTGGAGACTGAGAGTCACTAGCTCCACCCACCAAGCCAGCCAGGTGCCCCTAAAAATATCCTTTCTGAGATCGTTGGAAATGTGAATATGGGCTGGGTGTTGGATGATATGCAACAAAATTCGTTAGCATTTTCCTGGTGGGATAATAACATTGTAGTTATGTAAGAAAAAACGTCCACTGTGTTTAGAGCTGCAGATTTTGAGAGATGAACTACAGAAGGGTGAATAGTGTGATATCCGGAATCGGCATTCATAAAGGGGAAAGTGGAAAGACGAGAGGCAAAATCCTGATCATCATTTCATCTCAGTGATGGGAGTGACTACCACCTGCTCTGCTCTTGTGACAAATATTTTTAATGGATTTCTAGAAACTGAATGTAACATCAGCTTGAAGGCTCCGCTCCTGTCCTTTCCGCCCACGCCTTGCTAGGCCTCATCTGCGGTGGCCAGATTGAGTGTCTACTTCCATAAAGCTCTGCCTCTAAATAACTGGCTTTAAGTCTGAGGCAGCCAAGAGCAAGTCAACTTAAAAAGGCACCGGGCAGTGTTTCCAGAGCCCGCTGAGACTCAGACTTTAGGAGCTGTGACAGACTGCAGGAGAGGAAGAACAAATTCTTGGGCCTGGATATGCAGCTATCCAGGGCTACTTCCCTCTGGAATCAGCGTTAAGGGCAGATTCCAGTTTTACCCCACGTTAGAGAAAATTAGACTGTTTCTCCAATCTTAGTTGCCCCAAAAGAACAAATGAGTGTGGAAGGGGGCTCTGGTGGGCAAAACTCACCAGCCAGGTGTCAGGTGAGCACACGGGGGTGAAGCCTATACCCCTGGGCCTCATCTCTGCCCCTCTCCTCCAGGGCTCTTGGCTGGGGCCGCACTGACAAGTTAGGCTCCTCTGGCCCAAGATGAGGGTCAAAGATGACCTGAACACCCTAACTCAGGGCCTAAGCTCTTAGGAGGCAGACACTGTCCCCATTGGCTGTGGTGACTGGCCTGCTCTCCATTCCTGTCCCAGCACCCATTTCCAGTCCTATGTGACCTACTTTCCCCAGCACAGGGTCACTAAGCAGTGGTGGCTTCAGTGTCACTGAGATTAGGATCCTCCTCTGCCCTCTCTCATACCCCTCCATTATTTTCAATGGGACATCTTTTTTTTTAACATTTATTTGTTTTTGAGAGCGAAAGAGAGCACAAGGTGGGGGTGGGGCAGAGAGAAAACACCAAATCCAAAGCAGGCTCCAGTCTCTGAGCTGTCAGTCAGCACAGAGCCTGACACGGGGCTCGAACCCACGAACTGTGAGATCAGGACATGAGCTGAAGTCGGACGCTTATCTGAGCCCCCCAGGCGCCCCTTGAATAGGACATCTTGACTTAAAACCTAAAATATAAACTTACAATGAAATCTCTGTGTGTCACAGGTTGAATTGTGTTCCTATGACCGTGACCTTATCTGATGATGGGCCTCTGCAGATGTAATCAAGTTGAGGTCCTTCTAGAGTAGGGTGTGCCCGAATCCGGTTACTTGTGTCCTTCAAAGAAATTTGGACACAGAGACAGACGGACGGGAGGCTTTGTGGAGAGGGAGGCAGATTGGAGTGCTGAGTGTCAAGAATTGCCAGCAACCACCAGAAGGCACAACTATCCTCCCCTGGAGCCTGCAGAAAAAATATGACACTTTGATTTCAAGACTCCTAGGCTCCAGAATGTAGAGAATAGATTTCTGCCAGAGGCTACCCAATTTCCGGTCCCTTAGGGCAGCCCTAGGAAATGACCAGTGAGCCAGAGACATCTGCTCCATTAACCCTCACCTTCGCCCTAGGGGCCGGGAAGTATCCCAACCCCCCACTTTCCAGAAACCACTGCAAATTGTGTCTAAATAAGCAGAGAACGAAGCTTGCCATCTGGGCCACCTGGGTCACAGCCCACATTCTTGACCAGGAGACCAAACTTCTTCTTTCTGCTGTTTGGATAAACTTATGGCTCTTTCCGAAGCTGGAAAGTTGATGGAAAAACCCGGGTACCCAACTCGAGTGGCCATAATAAATAAAACAAACAGTAACACGTGTGGAATCGGAATGCTTCTGCGCTGCTGGCGGGAATGGAGGGCAGTCTCCAGTCTGGAAGGTTCTCATAAGGTTAAACACAGTCACTGCGTGATTCAGCAGTTCTACTCCTAGGCACCTACTTACACAAGAGCAAGGAGGGGCGCTTGGGGGGCTCAGTCGGTTAAGCGTCCAACCTCGGCTCAGGTCATGAGCTCACGGTCCACTGAGTTTGAGCCCCGCGTCGGGCTCTGTGCTGACAGCTCGGAGCCTGGAGCTTGCTTCAGATTCTGTGTCTCCCTCTCTCTCTCTCTCTCTCTCTGTCTCTGCCCTTCCCTTGCTGGCACTCTGTCTCTCCTCGCAAAAATAAATAAACATTAGAAAAAATAAAAGAGCCATCACCACCCTGGCCCACACAAACACTTGTAGGTGAATCTTCATGGTGGTGTTTTTCCTAAGAGCTCCAAAGTGGAAACAATTCAAGTAGTTATCAAGCGATGAGTAATACAATATTACTTGGCCACACACACAAAAAAGGACAGCACTGAACATGCCACATGGATGAACCTCGAAAGCATTACGCTAAGTGAAAGAAGCCAGAGGCAAGAGACTACAAATTGTACGATGTGTGCATCGGAAGCACGCAGTAAAGGGAAGTCATGGACGGAAAGTGGCTGCCAACGGCTGGGGCTCAGAATGAGGTCTACGTTTAAATCGGAGCTCTTCTTGGGGTATGGATGTGTCCTGAAACGGATTCGTGGTGATGACTGAGCCACTCAGCAAAGTTACTAAAAATCACCGATTGGTTTATTTGAAGTGAGGGGATTGTACGACGTGAGAAATCCAGCTTTTTAAAAGATGTTTAGGTTGAAGGACCTCTATGGGCCAAGAGCCTTAGACTGATTTGGTTACTTTAGAACACAGGGGACACTATGGAGGCTTTCCAAACAGTTTTCAGTGCTAAAGTGCTTCACTTTATTTATGTGAGTTTTAGCTGCAGACAAAAATGCCAGAACACTTGAGAATTAAAACAGGGAGGGGGCCGAGAACAGAAAAACGTTATTTGGACACTTAGAAGCTAAGAAGCCACTTTCCCACTTCTTCAGAGGCCCTTCGGGTGATCAAGGAACCGGTTAAGTAATGACGCCTTTTTTCCCCTCCTCCTCCCAGCAGCCCACACAGACTTCAGCCTGGTGACAGGGACCCTTCTCCGCAGACCAGCGTCCCCCGCTGGCCCTCCTCCCCCACAGCGCCAGCCCACAGCTTCCCCGGCGGTGCGAATCCTTGCCCGAGGACAGACCCAACCAGGCAGCCAGGTGGAGGTGGCGCTGAAGCGGGGCCCCTGACCGAGCTCTCTCCAGAAACACCTTTTGAAGTGGTCTTGCCGGCCGTGCAGACCCTGCTCCTAAGTCCCCAGTGACGCCTCCTGCGGGAGATCCTGAAGCTTCGAGTCAGGCCCATCTATTCTCCACTGAGACAGGGCTAACCGCAGGTGACACGTCCGCCTGGCTGTCCAGACAGGACTCCGTCCAACTCCAGGACAGTGAGACAAGCAGCCCTTGGCGCGAGCCAGGCCAGGCAGCGGAGTCCATCTGTCCCCAGTCCCGTCGGTCAGGACTTCAGGCCCATCTTGGCCATCATCTCCTCGTAGACTGTCCATGCCATCGCTGCCATCAGAGTTCTGCGGAGGGCCCGGGGGACGCCGCCTTGGAAGAAGCCACGCAGCCCATAATCCTATGGGGAGAACGAACATCAACACTCCAGAAGCAAAGTAGCAAATACAACGCACGCCTGTAGCACAAGGGGGGGGGGGTCTCTCTGACCCCGTTGTTGAGTCTTAGTTTTCAGACTTGTGTGGTCAATGCCAAAAGTAAGAACAGCGATCCAAGGAGACAATGAACTTGAAAAACAAGTTTTGGCATAGCTGCTAACCTCTCTTGCTTTGTCCGTGGGAATGTGTTTCTTAGCTCAAAGTCTTCCTCCAGGGCTGCTGCACACAGCTGTACAGCTCGCGCAGCTCAGCGGCCCCAGGTCCCAGCGGGCGGCTGCGACCCAGGTCACGGTCTGCACAAGCCCTGGGCCCTGGCTCCAGGCTAGAGGGAAAGGGGCCTTTTTCGGTGATTTGTCTGCCTGGCGGGAGCATCTTTCCATAATTTCGTAATATAAGAATTAAAGACAAAACACCTGTTACTTCTCACGCCTCCGTAACCTGGGCCGCTTTTTCACTCCCATTATTACCATTCCTGCCATTTTCATACATCCTGGGGAACATATTTTTCAAAGTTGAGAATTTTAGGTACAGAGGATAGGAAAGCAGGTGACCCAAGTGGTGTGAGAATATGATCAGATTCACGAATATGTGCTTATGCCCAGGGTGAGGCAGATGCCTGACGCGTGTGTTTACGTGTGTCCTCTGCCACGCGGAGAAATGGACGCCAACAGGAAAATATACAGGGACACACTGACCTTGAACAAGAGCATCTGGTGTGTGACAGCTCTCCACGCTTGCAAAGGACCAACTCAGCACCTTTGCCTTCAACAAACTTTGGTCCATTTGTGTTAGAGCAAGTTTCTACTACAAACAAAATGATGTGCTGGTGGGGGTTTTTTTTGGACCCTGGTTGCTCCTAGGTCCTGGATCGGATGACCAGGCCCTCCCTACTCACCTGATTCAGTACGTCTGGGGTGGAGCCCAGCAATCTGCCAAGTTTAACAAATAGAACTGGCTGTCCTAATGTAGTGAGGTCCCCCCCACCCCCACCATCGGTTTTTAGCAGTGGTTTCAACCTTGGCCACACCATGGAATCATTAGGGAACTTTACTGATCCAGGCTTCACCTGCCTCCAGACATTCAGATATAATCAGCCCAGATTATGATCGAGAAGTGAGGACTTTTTTAGTTTATTTTGAGACATAGAGAGAGCAGGAGGGAGAAAGAGAGAGAGAGAGAGCATACAAGACAGGGAGGGGCACAGAGGGAGAGAATCCCAAGCAGGCTCCATGCTGAAACTCATGAACCTGACCTGAGCCAAAATCAAGAGTCGGACACTTAACCAACTGAACCGCCTCCAGTGGTGGGGACTCTTATAAAGCTCCCCAGGTGACTCAAATGTGTAAAGGACACCAGCTACCACTCTAGAGAGAGCCGTGAACCCCAACAGGAACCAATATTTACTCTGCAACCTTACTTTGAAAATGAAGGTCACCGCCTGGCCAATCCAGCGAAATCTCATCGGGGAGAGCTGCATGTGAGTTTTGATAACATCCGCAGGCTGGGTTACCAGGGAGGCCAGAACCCCAGCAAAGAGCCCGCAGCCGAAATTTACTACGGGAATAAGGACGGCATCCGGCTGGTCTGAAATAGGACAAAGGCAACATTCAGTTACCGATAAATCTCATCCTCATCCCCCACGTATTTACTATGTTGGCCACTAATCCTTCCCCAAAGTTAGAAGGTAGATTCAGACAAGGTTAAGAGGTAAACATTTAAAGGAACGCTACGTGTAGATGGAGTAGCGGGAGTTAAAAATTCGCCTTCTTTACAACTATCGCCATCGTAATTCATTCGGGCAAGAATCACGGGCTGTGGCTAAAACATACAAACGAAAGGAACAGAATGTTTTATATGAATGTTTACAGATTCAAACTATCCTCCCATTGAGGTGCTTACAAACTACAAAAGAGAAAATAAGTTTTCAGGGAAGACACTAATCTTGTCCAAGCATAAAAAGCGAGCACGGCCCACAGTGGGTCAAACCAACGTCATGAGCTTCCCACACAGTCACTGTAGACTAAAGAGCTGTATCTGTGTGAAATTTCCTGACTTTGAGCGGATGATTTATGAGAACATCTTTGTTCTTAGGAACTACGCATGGCGGTACTTACGGGTAAAGATGCATCACTCCTGCAACTTGCTCTTAAACTGACGGAATAAACAATTACAAACACCGAGAGGTCACACGTGTATATCGCTGCTCCTTCACTGCCCTAACTTTCTATGGTAAAATTAAGGCCGAGGCCCCACACTGTCACCTGTCCCGGTGCCTTGGGCGGAGCAGCAGGCGTCCCAAAGCACCCCAACTGCACTTGATCACTGCTGTCGTGCTGGCGGCAGGCGGGCTTTCCCACTTCCGTGACCTTGGCTGACTGCCTTTCTCGAATCATCCAGAGACCATTTACTGAACACAGGCTCATGCCACAGGACGTGTTTCTCTCGGCACCTGGCTCTGCTTGGCTGAGTGTTCACCGCCCACTGACTGTGTCCCTGTCACATCCAAATGAGCCAGCTTCCTGATGGGGTGGGTGTGCCAGAATGCCTGAGCTGCGACACCGTTCCCTCCACCCCAACAGAGGCTCAAATCCACTTTCTACGAGGAACACAGCAATGGAGGTGGAAATGAGACTTCCCTTCCAGCTCCCAACCTACTGGCATTTCCAAGTTTGTCTGATAAGAATCCCATCAAGTGCTTCCTGAGAAACAGATCCTGAGAAATAGACTCCCAGGGCTTATCCCAAGGCTACTGATTTAGGAGGCCCTGGGCAGGACCCAGCAATCTAAATAAAGATCAGGCAAATGTGCAAATTATTATTGCAGGACTTCCGCAAAACACGCCTTATTCCACCGCCTACCCCTCTCAAGAACTTGAGTACTCACTACCAGCCAGTCCTCTGCCGTAAGAGCCTGTAAACTCGAGAGGGCAGGGACCAAGTCTGTCCTGACCACCACCGCATCCTAGCACCCGGCCCCGTGCCTGACACGGCACCCACACGACTCAGTTCCTAAAACTCTGCGAAGAATCTGGAGTTGCTAAGAACACCAAACAGTGTCACACAGCACAGAAAGCAGTGAGGGTCTGAGGTCACGGAGCTCTCTTCCCACCACACCTCCCTGTGTCCCTACCGTGGGTCATGATGTTTTTGGTCTGGTTGTAAAACATCAGGTAGATTCCAGAAAAGGGTGCATCACGCAGAAGCGTTGCTGTCAGGCCACTGAAGAGCCCCCGGTGCCCCTCACTGCGGTAGATGCTCCTCAGGGCTGCGTAGATGCTCCCGTAGCCATACCTGCCGCTCTGCAGAGGAAGCACAGGACCGGAGGCTGGCAGCGCGGCCCCGGGCTGCAGCGAAGAGCCAACACGACTTCCCCGTAGGCGGCGTCACCAGGGCACCGGGGGCTCTGGTTCACACGTGGCTTGGGTTCTCCGACCCCAGCAGCCTCTATTTCACATCCTAAACCAGGAGAACACCCCGTGGCCACTTGACGACAGCCCAGTGCCTCTGGGTACCCACCCTGAAGGCCTAAAGTAGTCGGACTCACCTCATAACGCGTCTTGATCACAGTGATGGGTGACACACAGACCCCCGCAACCGAGCGCGAGCCCACCCCCAGGATGACGGACTCCAGGGCGGTCGGTGGATGGCCTCGCAGGAAGTACTGCTTCAAGGAGTAGAGGGTGCCGAAGTAGATGCCAATGCCCGGGACACACCGCACGATGGACTGCAGGCGAGGTCAGGGAGGAAGGAAGTCAGAGGCTGCCCAGTAAGATATCTCAGCTGGATTTTCCCAAAACAAGACCATGATTTGCAAGCCAGTAGTTGACTGAAGGTTTGGAGGGAACACCGGTAAGAAGGGGGTAGTGAGACGGGAGAGAAGGCAGCTAACCAAGGGTGTGACCTCACCCACTGCTGCCCGGGGCACTCAATCCTTCTGGGGAATTCTGGGAATCCTGTGGGGCGCCTCCCCGTTACCCCTCCGTCTGAGGAGGGTGAGTGAGATTCTTAAGTACCAACTGTCATCCCCTGTCGGGTAGAGGGCTATGCGGGCCAGGGCGGGCGTTAATTCCCTGGCACTTCCGGCAAATTAGCGCCTAGGGTGAGAAAAGGCCAGCGGGTAAGGAGATGCAGGTGTGCGGCCTGCGGGCGCTGAAGGGCACGGGCAAGGGCAAGGGCACGGACATGCTGCTCACCGGGGGCACAGCTGCATCTCTTCTAGACCTGCCCCTCCCCACGGGCTCAGGTACCCCTGCACCCCCCCCCCCCCCCCCCCCCCGCCGAGCAGGCAGCAGCAGGACACCAACAGGCCGTGGGGGTCCCCCCGCCGCGCCGCCCACCTGTCCTGACTAGAGAGGGCGTGTGAGGCGCGGGCCGCTAAAGCAAAGGGGCAAGAGGAGACCCGGGGGCGGCTTACGGCGGACATCCCGCTCCACAGGCCCAGCACGCTCTCCGTGCGCACCACCGTCCGGAGCAGAGCCAGCACCCCGACGCGCCTGGACCTGAGGGCACACGGGGCGCGGAAGGGAAGGGACTGCTGAGACCCCGTCCTCACCAGAGAGCTTCCCGCCCACAGGCCGCTCTGCAGGCCTTCTTCCCTAGGCGGCTCGGGAGTCTCGGCAGCACCCCTTGCAGTGACTCTGAGTTCCGCCGTGTCCCTGTCGTCATCGGTCCGTTCACACCGTAAGGACGCCCTCCCCTTTGACACGGGCGCAGAGCCCGATACGGGGCATAACGGGCACTTCAGACGTGCATTATTTCCGGAAAACCACCCACACTGCCGGCCCGCACAGTATACAACGCGAATGTCCCAGGGCAGAGCCCAGGGAGATGTCCCGGGCGGGGGGGCCATACCCGTGGGCTGAGGGCTGGAGGGTCTGCATGCGGGTTTTGAGGAGGTCTAGCGGCTGGAACAGGAGGGTGGAGCAGGTCCCGCTGATGGAGCCACACAGGAAGGCTTTGATCACCGGATGCAGCTGCGGGCCACAGAAGGCTGCGTCACACTCTGCCGCCAGGGGCCTCGGGGGGGAGGCCTGCGGGGGCTCTGTTACCCTCCCCCTTCACGGAAGGGAAGAGTGAACGAGGCCACCAACCACACCGCCCCCTCCGTCTCGGCGAGAGACAGGTATTGGCCATCGCCTCATCTCCATAAAGCGAAATCAACTGAAGGGGAGCGGCTGAACCTAGAGAGGCTGGCGACCTTGGTTCGGCCGCTGCCCCTCAGTTATCAGACCTGTAGGTATTTAGAGGAGCAAGACAAAGAAGTGAAAACACAAGCTCAGCTTAAACGCAAAACATGCACCACTTCCTGTAAAACCTACGAACTCCCTTAGCTGAAAGCTTTCCCTTTCTCTCCCGCCCACGCATCTCCCTGCAACCTGATGAGACCAGGAGACAGTGCGGGGGACGCAGCCAGCCCTGGGTTTGGTGGCTGTCCTTCAAACCAGGACAGTCGCACCCACGGGCTAGTCTGGAGGCCCCACCAGGAGGGGCAAAGACTACATGTACTTCCATCCGAGCCCCACACGCTACGGGTGCAGAGCTTGCCTCACAGCCCACTTGATCACAAACGGCTGTAAAGAGGCACTTATAAAAAGATCTGCTCTCCTCCTTAAAGGGCACTTGCACTATTGTTTCTTTTAACAAATGGCACCCGGTGGTCCTAACACACTGCGAGGGCAAGGCTGCCAGTCACACACACAGAGCCACCGGCCTGGAACAAAACTGAGTGTGGCCTGCGGTTACCTGTCGCACAGGGGAAAGCGATCGCCCCAGCACATTTCTACCAGACCAGCAAGTCTCCAAGGATAACTGAACCCACTTAAGAGGCTAAGTAAGCTCAGATAATAAATACTGGAGGTTATCATGCTGTTCAAACGGATTGCGAAGTACCAAAGGGGTGATGGAATTAGCCCGCCGACACAGACACCGAGGCAAAACGCGCACACCTCACCAGTGTGTCCCCGGCCATCGGCCGTCCCCCGTCCCGCGGAGGGGCGCCCGGCTCCCTCGGACAGATGTAAGCTGGCAGTCCCTTCCCTCCCCTACACCCTCCACTCGGCCGGCTGCAAGGCTTCCCAGCCCCCATCTCCCCGGCCCGATGCCACACCACCTCCCCTCCCTCTTGGCTGGTCACCCCTCAGCCCTCACAACTTGCCACCATCCGGCTAAAGATGGTGCCGCTCAAGCCTCCCTCTCCCCCCCCTGCCCCCCCCGGCCTTCCCTTACTCGGCCTCTGCGGTGCATGTCCAACAGCTGGCTGCCTCTAGGTCTGGGCCTCCGTGTCCGTCGCAGGCTGCTCCTTTCCCTCAGCGGGGACTTCGGCGGTTCCCCTTATCGCGCCCAGCCACAGCCCCTCAGGGCCACCAAGCCACCGCCCAAGGCCTGCCCAGCCCCCCCCGCCCCCCCAGCATCTCCAGGTCACACTCCAAAATGGAAACCCAGTCAACAGCTGCCCACATCCCAGCAGCAAGTCTGGGAGACACAGAAGACTCCCGGGCAAGCACACAGGGAAATGGCAGACAGAATTACATTTCCTGCAGCCGCCGTCACACTGGAGGCAGCCCGAGGAAGACATTTCTCCAGGAGCTCCCTGCTGTCTTAACACGGTTAACGCTTTGCTAAGAGGAAAAACCACCTTAGCTTCACAACAGCTAGGCCTCCAGGATCCAGAGTCTTCTTTACCATATGAAAGTCCCTTTGGAAACTTCTCCCTGACTCGACCTCCCCCAACTCTTACCCACATATTGAATCAGTCTCTCCTTACAGTCTGGGGGCAGCTCTTCCTGTCCACGGGCCCTTGTCCCCAAGAGCTGTCCCTGTGCTTTAATAATGTCACCTTTCTGCACTGAAGATGTCTCGGGAATTCTTTCTCGGCCATCAGCTGGGAACCCCACCATCGCTCCAAAATCCCGTCAACTGTACCTGCTGCGTCATGACGGAGTCCTGCTGCCGGCCCTCCTGTCCCCAGAGCCTGTCCCCTCGGATCCACCCCAGGGTCTCCTTGGCAGTCACAGCCCCACCCTACTAGCCCACCCTCCCCTGAGCCCCCGGAGCGGCGCTGGGTGAGGCTCTACACACAGCCCCTCAGGATCTCAGAGCACTTTCACAAGCTAGATATTTAAAGCCATTTTGCAGACGGAACCGGAGCCCACAGAGGTTGTGAACGTGTCCTAGGCCGCAGGGCCTGCAGCCGCTGGCTGGGCCGACAAGGCCGGCCGTGCGTCTGGGGCCCCTGCGTTGCTCTCAGGCCTGTGTTCTCAGCCTCCTCCCTCTCGCCCACCGCGCAGCCCACCGCGCAGTCCAAGGGGGTTCGCGGCCTGCCTGCAGCCTCTGAAAATCCCACCCTAGCTCCTCCCACATCGGATTCCTTCCCCGAGGGGGGGCTCTGCTCAGGCCTCCCCACGGAGGGGAAGCCCGAAACACCCCCCCACCCCCACCCCGGGATTCATGCTCAATACTTCCACTGCACCTGAGCCCGTCTCCCTTGGGTCTCAGACAGAAGAGGCCACTAGCTGTCCGGTTCAGGACGGTACGTCCACCCCTGACCACCGAGCCCTGGGGCACAGTCAAAATGGGGCCCAACAGAGAAAAATGACCGAATGACGTCATCCACAGGAAACCTGCATTTGGCTCTCCTGAGCACAGCACCGCAGGACAATGCTCAGTGGGCTCTGCAGGCCGGGCCCGGGCCCCCCCAGCCCTCGCTGCAGTAAGGCCGTGGGAATGACCGTGTGATCACAGCCTCGGCTCTCTGCGACTTCCCCCGTGCTCTCTCTCGCGGGGACTGTCCGGACGTGTCTTCAGGCTGCGGTCTTTCCCGAGCCTGCTCCCTCCCTCTCACTGCGGGAACTATTCTATGTCTTTAATTTCACAGCACATGCTTGGAGATCGTATTGGTTTGTTAAGTATTTGTTGAATAAACAATAGAGCCCGCAACTTTTTAACTTTGTAATTTTCCAGGATCATTAGCGCACGGCAGATGCTAAATATATGCCAGCGGTACAGACTATTCCCTAATAATTAAAATACACACGCACACACAGAATAGCATCATTAAAAAAAAAAAAAAACAGAATTGGGGGCGCCTGGGCGGCTCTGTCTATTGAGAGTCTGACTAGCTCAGGTCATGACCTCACAGTTCCTGAGTTCGATCCCTGCATCTGGTTCTGCGGGCACCGCTTCAGTCTCCGTCCCCGTCTCCCCGCCCTGCCCCCACCCCACTCACATTCGCCCTCTTTCAAAAATAAACATTCAAAAAACCCCAAAGACTTAAAAAACAAACAGCATTTACACTTCTCATTTGAATAGGCTTAAGATACTGTCCTAGACACATTCTCTGAAAGCATGTTTGATTTTGTTCCCCCTTAAGAGCCCAAAGTTATTCAAGGTAAAAACGAGGACTAAAACTTTGTTTTTTTCGGGAACCAGGGCAAAAACCACCACGTGGCACACAGCACACAAAGGAACGAAGCACCTAAACAGTTGCTAAACAAGTTCCCCAAGCAATTTACTCCCCTTCAAAACACTAAATCCAGCTCAGATCTCGAGGCCAGAGCGGGAGGAAATCTGCAGAGCCACAGCCGCAGCCCTTTCAGGGATTAAACAAACGAAAACACCTCCGCACCCCGCCGGCAGCGCGCGCGCGTTGAAACCGCCCGCAGGCGCACACCGCCCGCCGCCTCCCCTCCCCCTCCGCCAGCCCCGCCTCCGCCTCCGCCAATGGCGGCCCGGCGGCCCGGCCGGCGGCCAATCCAGAGGCAGGGGGCGTGGCCCGCGGCCCCGCCCGCCGCGCCTGTGCCGGGCCCCCCGGCCCGGCGGGGAACCCGGGGCTGAGGTCCCGCCCGAGCCGCGCCCGCCGCCCCAGCGGTCTCGGCGACGGCCACACGCCTGCCCGAGCGCCCTCCCCCCGCCACTCCAGGGGTCCCACTCACAAGCAGCGCCCGCACGTCGTTCGGGGTCGCACGGGCACTCTCGCCGACTCCCCCGAGACCCCGGCGGTTCGCCCACTCCCCCCGGGTCCCGCTCGGCGGCGAGCTCCCTCCCCCCCCCCCCGCCGCACCCTGTTCAGCTCCCTCAGTCACCCCGTCCCCAGCGGACCGGCCCCGAGGCCGCCGCCCCGGCCGAGCCGGCGCCCCCCACCCCGCGGTTTACCACAAGCGTGTCCACGCCGTCGCCCACATCCTGAGGCTGCAGCAGCGCCGGGCGAGACTTCTGGATCATCGGAGAGGAGGCCGGCACGCGCGCCGGGCGCAGCGTGCCGTCGGGGGCCGCTCGCCGCTCCTCCCTCACCGGCTCCGCGGAGGCCGTGGCCCCGCTGCCCCGCCCACCCCGCCGCGCCGCACGCTCCGGGACCCCAGGGCAGGGGGCGGGCCGGGGGGCGGGGACAGCGGAGGAACTGCGCCGAGCCGTGGGATTCCGCTTCCGGGTTGGGCGCGGGTCCGGAGCGCGTGAACGCGTGCGCCCTGCCGCCCCCTAGTGAAGACGTCCGGAACTGCAGCGCCCGCCGTTGGCCTGCGCTGAAGGCGCGTCTGCGCGGAGCCCCGCCTCCGTCCGGCTGGAGGTCAGGCGCGGCATTTGAACTTGGCCGTAGAGACTCGCCCAGCCCCCTACGGCAGCCGCAGCCCGTAGCTCGTGCCTATTGAACTTCAAATGTGGCTGGTGTGCTTGAGGACCAGAATTTTAAATTGTATTTAATTTTAGTTAATTTGTATTAAGAAACGGAAGCAGTGTGGAATAACTTACCGTTAAACACTGTATTTTGGCGGACGCACCTTTCCTCTTGGAACACTGGAAATTTAGTGTAGGAATTGACGTGTTTGTAAGTGACCCGTACACCGCATTTCTAAGACTTACAGCCATATGGTAAAATCACTTAATAATCGTTATATTATTACATGTCAAAATGATATTTTGGATATCTTGGGTTACGTATATTATTAAAATTAATTTTGCATGTTTCTTTTTCCTTTTTTTTATGTTTATTTATTTTTGAGAGACAGAGAGAGCATGAGTGAAGGAGGGGCAGAGAGAGAGGGAGACACAGAATCCGAAGCAGCTCCAGGCTCTGAGCTGTCAGCACAGAGCCCGATGTGGGGCTCCAACCCAGGAACTGTGAGATGGTGACCTGAGCCAAAGGCGGACTCCTAACCGACTGAGCCACCCAGGCGCCCCAAAACTTTTATTTTTTAAGTACACTTCACACCCAGGGCAGAGCCCAGCAAGGGACTTGAACTCACAACCCTGAGATCAAGACTTGAGCTGAGATCAAAAGTCAGATGCTCAGTCACCTGAGCCACCCAGGTGCCCCTGCAACTTCTTTTTAAAGGAACAGCTACATTTTCCCCCAGCAGGCAAGGATCTCTACTTTTGAGAATCAAGAGTGGATTGGTGTTTCAGAGGCTGCTCTTGGCCACTCTGGGAATGGGGGCCCGGAGTGAAAGCCTGCTGCTGCTGCCTGCCCCACACCAGCAGGTAGGGGGCTTGGTTCTGGGCTCAGGAGAAACGGGCTAGCTTTCAAGGGTGGTAGGTGCCTGCCAGGGTTTCCTCCTCGGTATCTGTTCCCGAAACACCCTCAACCCTGGAACCCAGAGTCCTGGCCCCCCAACCCCTCCAAACCTCCTCCCATATTCTTGGAGACTTGGAAATATATGAGATCATGTGGAAGAAGCATTACCCATTAGCAGATGAGGGAGCATTTGGGAGCAAAGCTTAAAGGCAGAACTTGGAGCAGTGAGTTAACAAACAAAAGAAAAATATATGGTGACGTGTGTGACTTTAGTTCCAAACAAGGTCATTGGGGCGCCTGGGTGGCTCAGGTGTTGGAGTGTCCGACTCTTGATTTTGGCTCAGGTCATGATCCCAGGGTCGTGAGATTAAGCCCTGTGTCGGGCTCTGCACTGAGTGTGGGGTCTGCTTAAGATTCTCTCTCTTTCTCCCTCGGCCCCTCTCCCGAGCTCCTGCTTTCCCTCTGTAAATAATAATAATGATGATGATGATGATGATGATAATGCCATTAACATCAGACACAGATTTCCTGAATTGTTTGCAGTCGGTGGAAGGTGATTTTTGCTTCCATGACCTAACACCCCGTAGTTACACAGTAAGCCTCCCACACTCAATCTGGCCCCTTTTTCTGAGTTGGGTGTTAAGATTTCATGATGCTCCCCGCCCGGCTGACTGCAGTCACTGTCTATCCAGGATACATAACTCCTTCTTGAAGCTTTATGCGCAATGAGCTTCTACCCCTGGCCTCTCCGCCATCAGAGAAGGACACTGGAGTAAGAAGGGAAACGAGATGGACAGGAGATGGAGTCTGCCCCCAAGGCAGCTTGGGGTCCCTGCCTCCCGGCCTGGAGGGGAGGAGCCTTACGGGGACTTGCACCTGTGTCACTTCACCGGGGACCAAGTGGCTGGAACAGCAAAGAGTACAGAGTGAGTTGTGCCCCAGGCTTCTGGGAAAACCAGCTCGGGGAGACGTTTCCGGTCTGTCTACCTGGAGCCAGAGCTGTTTCTGGGAATGTCTAGATTCCCTTTACTGTTGTCAAAGCAACGAGCCCACTTCTGCCCTTTGGGCGCGAGGAGGGGTTGAGAGGGGAGACATGACGCACGCAGTCTGGCCACAGTCTCCCCTCTGATGTGGAAAGTGTTGAGGTTAGGAGTCAACGGCCAAGGAAGAGTTTCTTTTTTAATTTATTTCTTTAAATTCAAGTTGGTTGACACACAGCATAGTATCGATTTCAGGAGTGGACCCAGGGATTCATCCCTCATGTATCACACCCAGGGCTCATCCCAACAAGGGCCCCCCTTGATGCCCGCCCCCCATTTTGCCCCTCCCCCCACCCCCACCTCACCAGCAACCCTCAGTTTGTTCTCTGTACATAAGAGCCTCTAAGGGTTTGTCTCCCTCTCTGTTTTTATTTTATTTTCCCTTCCCTTTCCCTATGTTGTGTTTCTTAAATTCCACATACTTCTTGAGAAGTCTTCAGTGAGAAAAGACGTTTTTTTAAAATTTCTTTAATGTTTATTTATTTTTGAGAGACAGAGAGACAGAGAGAGAGGGAGACACAGCATCTGACGCAGGCTCCAGGCTCGGAGCTGTCAGCACAGAGCTGGACGCGGGGCTCGGACTCATGAGCCATGAGCTCATGACCTGACGGGAAGTTGGACGCTTCACCAATGGAGCCAGCCAGACACCCCAAAGATGGTTTCATTAAAGCGCGGGGACAGGACTGTGGGCAGAAAGAGCCGCTCTGGGATTATGAACAATTGGTTATATACTTGAGACCTGGGGAGGTACAGACCAGGGAAGTTTCCAGAAAGATGTTTCATGTTTTAAAGAAGACCTTGGTGATCGCAGAGGCCCAGTCAGCACGAAGCCACGGTTGCTCTTCCCTCTAGCAAAGCTTTACCAGTAAACAGTGGGGAGCTCCCGGGGACGGGAGCCCGCCTCAGGTGTTTACCAGCGGGCTGCAGGCTGTGAGGACATTTAGCCGTGTCTACATCGCTTGTTCTCCGCATCGCCCTCCTCTTCTTGAGCCTCTTTACGACTAGCGCTGGGCCCCGCACAGAGCGGGACGGGTGTTACGGGCTGTGGCGTAACTAACGGAGGCTCCTCTGTCCTTGAACATCGCCTCCCACCCCGAACAGTCTGAAAGAACATTCTTAAGGATCTCCAGGGGCGGGTGCTGCCCTCCGCCTGGGGGACGTCATCCTCTGCGCCCGGTCTGGAAGATGGGCACAAACCCGCGGGGGCAAAATCCCAATGGCTTCACCGGAGGCGTCGGCAAAGAGGTGGCCGTGCTGCCTTCGGGGCTTCGCGAGGGAGAAATGCCCCTCTTCCTCCTGCGCCAGTGAGGAAATGAGGCCGTGCGGTTTGTGAGCAAATGGCGAAGAAGGCATTCTTGAGGCGTCTCCGGTGCAGAAAGGTGATTTTATTAAGGCACCAGGACAGGACCTGAGGGCAGAAAGAGCTGCCCTGGGGATGTGGGGAGACACTGACTCTCCCCTTTCAAGTTTGGGGGGGGGGGCAGGGGGTAGAGATGAAGTTCATTTCCAAGGAACTTCTGGATGCTAACAGCAGGGTCTCACAGGAGCCTGAAGATCTAGCTACTGTCAGGATAAGGTTGCTTTTAGTTTTTAATGACCTGTAAGCATTAGGCACGAAGGCGGCCGTAGGCTTTGGGAGCAGTGGGCCTCTGGCATCTACCCATGCGCGGCCGGCTGGGAAGGGGTTTAATTTCAACTACATTTTCCTGGATGGCCACCTCATCCCCACTGACCATCGCCTCCAGCCTCACCACCGAGTGGAGGAAGCCGGGCTATGAGAGCAATGCAGGGTGGCTACTCGTGGGCTGGGACCCGAGAAAGCGCTGGAAGGTTCTATGCTGTGTGTGTGTGTGTGTGTGTGTGTGTGTGCGCGCGCGTGCGGTGTCCCTGCAGCGCGGGGGTCCTGGGGTTCCACTCCAAGGGCCAAGATACGGGGCAAGGAGAGAAAGAAGCTGTGAAGCAAACCCAGGCCGTGCGCCATCCTGTGCTTGGCGTCGCTGGAAGCCGCAGCCCCCGCCGGCCGCTGCCGCTCGCCGCCCCCGGCGTCTGTGCCGGTCTGGCTCCTCTTGTTTCTTGCCCTTTTCCCAGGGAGGAAACGTATACTACATTTTGGCCAAAAGCCCACAAACGCAAGCACAGGTTGTCTCCCAGCCCCCCTCCCCCGGTCCGGCGGGCCCCGGGGTGAGAGGGCGGCCGGCTGAGCCGCTGTCCCTGCCGCAGCGAGCTGCCCTTGTCCATGAGTAAACACGCCTTCCCTGTGAGACGGTGAGTTTCCCGGGCCAGCTCGACTAGGGCTGTGATCCCCAGTTATTCAGTCTACACTGATCTAGGAGTGACTGTACAGCGTAAGCAAAGGTGATGGCCTTCGGTGATCGGAGCCGCCGGAGGGCCTGGCGAGCAAGACCAAGGCTTCCCCGGGGGAGAGCACTGCAGCTTGAGTCCCTCGCCGGGCTTCCAGCCCTGACGGCCTGCCCTGTGGGTGGGGGGCGTGCCCGTCCTCACAGCTGCATAGGCCAAGTCCTTGAAGTAAACCTGCCTACCCATCCACCCACCGATTAATACTATATAATAGCTGTATTGATTAATGTATTAATTTAATACTTTTCATGTGTGTATATCCACACACACACCTCTCTCTGGGGAACCCTGACCCATACGTCTTGTTTCCCCTCCTTGGAAACGGGGACTGTGTCCTCCCCATTCCTGTGCGTCCTTCAGAGGCACAGGGAGAGAGCGCTAGTTGCAGAGAAAGTGGCTTTGGGGAGGAGGCCATACCGCCTGCGTGTGACCCTGGCTTTGTCACC